ACTCCCACCGTTTCTGTCCAGGCGCCCATCCCTCTCCTGCGCAGCCCTTCGGTTTCAGGGGAACCGACCCGACCCGCAGCTCTAGGGCCGATCCGAACGGGTCAGGCCAATCAGCCCGTATCAGTCCTCAAATCCCCTTTAACAGTGCAGCAGGGGGCAGTCGATCGGTTAACTTACACACATTTAGAGGCAGGACTTTGTTTGAGTGGCAGGTTCTCTCCCATTCACAGTTCCGTTTTCCTCACTAAAGGTGGACAAAGAAACACGAGGACCCTAGTTCCCACTGGCAACCATGAGGAAACCTCACTTGAAAAAATTTGATACACAGGGGCTCTGGAACCACAGGCCACCTAGTTATGAGATAATGCCGTTCCTCGTTGACAGGAACGGCAGCATCACTGCCAACGGCCCAGATTCTGCAGCCAAACTGCCCAGGATTGAATCTGGCTGTGATACCTACTGGTCGTCTTACCTTGTGCGAGTTACTTCCGTTTGTAACGCGGGGATAATAATAGTTCCTATGTTATAGGATTGTTAGGAAGATTAAGTAACTCTATATCCATATATATCCGTGCGCGCGCACACACACGCGCGTGTATCAAGCACCTAAAACAGTGTCTGGCGCAGAGCAAACACATGTACGCGCGGGCTGGCGCTGCGTGGGCCGGGACTTCGGTGACCGGCGGTGAAAGGCAGCGTGACCGATACGGCAGAAGGGACAGAGTAAGTGCAGGCGCGCTGCGCTGGGCGCAGAGTGCCGAGCTGGGCTCCGGAAAAGTGAGATGAACATGGACAACATCACCGCAACTCTATCTCCCCGAAAGGATATAAACTCCATTTCCTAAAAACTGCAGGAAGGAAATGCCCCACGAAGTTAATAAAGAAAGAAAACACATTAGAAAACCGCTGTAGGACGACAGACGGGGGAAGGGCCGACGGGGCCCGTGCGTGAGGCGGCGCCACAGGGGCGGAGGCGTCCGCGGGAAGCCCCAACTGGCTCTGTGCAGCGACACAGCCGCGCGCAGCCAGGGTCCGCGGGAAGCCCATTTTGGAACTGAGGACGGGCCGTGCTCGGGGACAGAACGACATCTGGTTTCCCGTCACACACCCACACCTGCTAACCAACACACAGCTTCCAGGTCTAACTTGAGACTCAACAGCCGTGACAGCTTTTTTTTTTCCTTTTAAACCAATTGTCCATATTTCATCTCCGGAAGCAGTGGATAGCCATTACTCTCACGTTCCCTGGCGAAGGAGGGGAATGAAAGTAATAATGTGTCCTTTCTTTGCCGTCCTCCCAAGATTACCTTGCTTAGACTGCCTACCTAAAGTGCCTTTCTAAATCCCTGTCAAGAGCAAAGAAAATATGTTTCCTAGAGTGTGGATCACAGCTTTCATCACGTCATCTCGCGCTCAGAAACCTTTATGTGGCTGCTTGTTGCTAAAAAGACAAAACCCATAATTCATATGTAACCTGGCATTTAAGCACTCTACAGTTTGCAGTAAATCCGTTCTTTATAAAAATCCCTATTGCTACCAACCCCTCTTCTCAGGTATCAAGTCCAGGGCAAGTGGACTCACATCTTGACTTGGCAACTCATGGACAGTATCACCTTGAGCAACTTATTTAACCTAAGCTTCAAAGCACTGCTGGTGAAGAATCTAGCTTTGACCTTGACACAGCAAGTGTCAATAAATACTGGCCTGCTGTGTCAGGAATCTGAAAGAAGGTGTTTTGGAGAGGACAAGAATATAACAAACAAAATAAGAAAGAAAAGTGTAATTGGTCACATCTTCCTATAGAGAAATCTGGTAATATGTATAAAAATATAAAATGCATATAACCTTTGACCCAGAAATCCCATTTTGCTCCATCTACTTTAAAAGGTCATTGAACAAGTGGGGAAACATGTAATCATAGGGACTTTATCACAGCGTTGTTTGTAACAGCCAAAAATCTAAATGCCTATTGGGAGTGAATGGGCCAAGAAAATCATGTGCACTCTCACTAGGTGATGAAAATTACTTCTTTCTTTTCCCAGAACTGTTTAATATTTTTTACAAGATTCATGTATCATTTTTTTCCAGAATCAGAGTAACAATTTTAAAGAAGAGTTTTAAAAAACACAGAAAGGAAAAAGACCCTGAAGGATGTCTTCCCTGGACTTTGAGGGCCAATTACTTTACATCTTGCTGACGAAGGTTTGGTTCAGCTGCTCAGGCTAGCCAAGGACCAGGATACATGAGAAAATCAAGACTGAAAAGAAGTAAATGAAATGAAAGACTTTTGTGTTTTTGCATAATGAGACAAGTCTGTCCTTTTACTACTTCAATATACAAAAAAAAAAAAAAAAAAAAAGGCTCTATTCTCTGGCTATACTTAACCACAAATATCTAAGTTCTATGGCAGGTTCTTGTCAGGAGGGAGACTGAAAAAAAAAGTTGTGGGTCATTCTAAGCAAACCCATCAGATGCTGTTAAGACTTGGCATTCACACCCATTCCATGCACGGCATTCCAGAATTATCATGGTATATCTAGAATTATGGGGAGCGGTAATGATCTGAACAAGTGATGGAGCTTTAGAATGGATATAAGATTTTTGGTCTTTAGTTATCTGGATTTGAGAGCCTTAATATTTCCGTTAAAATGACAGGTACATAATTTTTAAAAAAACCAAACCATACAGGACAACACCAAAAAACACAGTAAATTATCCTCTGAGGTCATAGTTCACAGCAACAATCACCCATCACATTTGGGGCTTGATAGATTTTGCTTCATTTTTAAACCTATCTCAAAAGAATTAATCATTTCTCATTCATTACACTGGCAAAATTGAAAAGTATATTAACATTAAGCGCTGGCAATGTTGTAGGGAAATAAACTTCCATGTACTATTTATGAGTGTAAATTAATATAGTAACACATTGGAGGAAATTTGACAGGATCTGTATAAACTAAAAATGTGCATGTCCTGAGAATGCTATACAGCTTTCTTTCACTAAGATATAATTCACATACCATAAAATTCTCCCAGTGGTTCTACTTTATTCACAGAATTGTACAACCGCCACCACTAGTCCCAGAACACTTTCATCGCCCAAAAAGAAACTCCATACCCATTCAAAGTCACTTCCCACTCTCAAAAGGAATCTACTTTCTATCCCTAAGCATCTGCCTGTTCTGGACGTTTCAAATAAACTGACTCATAAAATATCTGGACATTTGTAACTGGCTTCTTTCACTTGGCATAATGTTTTCAAATTTCATCCATGTTGTAACATGAATCATTACTCCATTTCCTTCTATGGCTGAATAATAGTCCACTGTATGGATATACCACATTTGTTTACATTTCATCAACATCTGGCTTGTTTCCACGTTCTTATTATGAATGACAGTGCTGTGGACATAGACAAGTTTTTCTGTGGACCTGTTCTCGAAACAATGTAGAATTGCTGGGTAAAGTGGCAACTCTGTGTAATTTTTGAGGCAATGACAAACTGTTCTCTACAGAGGCTGGGCTTTCCCACCGGCAGTATGTGTGGGTTCCAATCTGTCCACATCCTCTTTAACACTTGCTATTGTGTGTCTTTTATCAGAGCCATCCTAGCAGGTTTGAAGTGATACCTCACTGTGGTTTCCATTTGCATCTTCCTAATGACTATTGATGTTGAGCATATTTTCATGTGCTTATTGGCCATCTGTATATCTTTTGGGAAAATATCTACTCAAAATTTTGCCCATCTTTTCACTGGGTTGTCTTTTTATTATTAAGTCATAATAGTCTTTAAATATGATAGATACTAGACCCTTATCTGATATAAGGTTTGCAAATATTTTCTCCCATTCTCTGGACTGTTTTTTTTCATCTTCTTGACACTACTGTTTGAAGCACAAAAGTGTTACATTTTGATGCAATCAAATTTACCTATATTTGGTTGCTTGGGCTTTCTGGTGTCATATCTAAGAAACTATTGCCTAGTCCAAGATTATAAAGATTTACACCTATGTTTTCGCCTAAGAGTTGTATAGTCTTGACTCTTCCATTTAGGTCTTGGATCCATTTTGAGCTAATTTTCTATTTTGTGTGAGGTAGAGGTCCAACTTCACTCTAGTTTGTGAATATTCGATTGTGCCAGCACCATTTGTTGAAAAAATATTCTTTCCCCATTGAATTGTCGTGGCATATAACTTTATATCTTAAATGATTTATAGCTTGATTGTGGCAGTGGTTACACATCTGTATATATGTTTGTCAAAACTCATAGAACCATACACTAAGAAGAATAAATTTTATTATATGTAAATAATGCCTCAATACACCTGAGAAATTAAAAATTCTACTTTAGAGAAACATTCACATGTAGCACTTACGAGGGTCATATGCCTTACAGTGCGGTGCCATCTGCAATATAAAGAAACTGAAAACCACCAGAATGTTTGTCAAAAAGGAAAAAGCTACATAGGATATAGTAACATCATAAGGTTGAAGATGATACAACATTTCAAAGGAATGTGCTGTATTTTTTATATATATATAATATATAAAGTTTAGAAACATTCTATTAAGCAAAAAGGGTAGGGGCACAATGATTTATACATACTAAACACACATGTAAGTGAACACACATGTAAGTGCCTGAAGGTACTTTTAGTATAGTGAACACACATGTAAGTGCCTGAAGGTATCTCTTAAAAGTCTAGAAAAATACTGAGCACAGTGATAATATCCATTGTCTTCTGGAGAAGGCAAAAGACATCAAGATTTAATAGGGTGGCCAGAAAGGCATTAAACTGTCATTTTCCCTCCAAAGGGAAATCTATGCATTAATTACTTGTGTGATTAAAAATTAACAATGTATAATTTATGTAAGTTGTAAACAGAGGTTAAAAGGATGAAATCTTCGCTTTTTAATACATGTGCTCATTTGTGCATCCCTGTACCCACGCTACAGGTACATGCACATTCACTAACACACACAGAGGTGACCTTACCAATTTGGGTTCTCCATACTTTCCCGAAAGACAGACTCTTCCTTCATGGAGGCATACTGTGTCCACGTAAGGCAGTGACTCCGTATAGCCATGTTTCTTTCCTGAGGATTGAGCCATGATTCCTCTTCTAACTGGATATCGGGTACCTTTAAAATGCTCACCTGTCCAACAGAGGGAGGAGGGCTTTCTCAGTTTAGGGAGAGCAGGTTACGTGACGGTTGTGCCCAGAGGTGCTTTCAGTCTTGGGTAATTTAAGAGGACAAGTGGTCCTGATACATGGATGAAGGCTCACCAATGGCTGTAAGTCCTTGAGCATCAAACATGTTACGACCTTACTAAATGCTGGCGGGGACATGCACATGGCCCAGGATTTATGCAGGCTGCACTGTCCCTGGCCCGAGTTCCCTAAGTGCTGACCACTAAGCAATTGCAGCCTCCTTGGGGTCTCCTCTCGGGCCAGTTACGGCCTCCTTAAATTGATGGATTCTAATTGGGTCCACTTACGGGCTCCCGTGCCCGATGACAGCAGGTAAAGTATTTTCTTCATTTTCAACTCTGTTCAATGCCTAGAAACGTATGCTCTCCTGGGTAGAAGAGACATGGGAAACTACAAAGGCAGAACTGTACAAGTCAGAGGTGTCCCTAAATTATTTAAGAATTGAGATACAACACAAAGTTGAATGCCTTTTTAAATAATAGATTCAAGGCATATATGTAGGGCAAAGGCAGACAGGGTACACCCTCTGCGGGAAAAGCCCATAATAATTTGCTGCACATTTTGCAACACATTTTACCCTCTGAAAAATAAAAGAAAGTTCATTTTCATTATCCTATGAAAGAAAGGTGTTTCTTTCCACACAAGAATGTGGCAGCGTCTTGATTCACGATGAGGAAGTGACAGAAGCCGCCCCCTATTCTGCAAACAGCTCAGCACTGTAATTTGCAAGCTAACAGGCCAGAGCCCAGCTGGGTTCCAAATCACACACAGAATCACTTCCGGATTGAAAACATCATCTGAGACATTTTTAAAAGTGTGAATCAGGATGCTCTCCTCTTATTTCCTAATGGTTCTAAGCAATGTGATTAAAATTTTCCACTTACCTTTTCCCCAACCATCAATCACCAGGTGTGCTGAAGGATTTCAAAGAGAGAAAACAATTTGCCGTCGTGAAGATTTCATCATCAATACCACCACTTTGCAGAAACATACACAGAAGGGCTTACAGAGAGCACTGAGAACATTATGCTTCCTGAAGTAATGGTTCTGACAGTGAAATAGAAACCGAAGCGCTCATCTCCCTCACTAAAGATCTCATTAAATATTTACCACCTGCCCACCTCTGATCATTCTTACCTGAGGGTCATATCTAACCATGGACAGATAAGGAAAGACGGTCACTTCATGTGAAATGTTCAAGGTATCTTTAAATAATTGTAGACCGGTTCTATGTCCACTAAGCCCTTCACAAAACAGAGAGGCACAGGACAGAGAGAAAAGCGGTCTCCGGTGGCATCTGCCACAGCCAAGGCTGGAAATGGACGTTTCCTCCTCTGAAGGGCTACGAGACAGGCGAACTGGGAAAGTTCTAACGCTCCTTTCCATCAGAAAATGCTCTTTTCATAACGACTGGAAAATTACCCAATGTTACACCAAGGCTGATTAAATTTTGAAATGAATTTACCTTCCTTAAAATTTCTGGAACCACGTTTCGACAGATTGCTATCCTCTTTCTATAGATGATTCCTGTTGATACATCTAGAAACAGAAAAATTTCACACTAAAAAAATGTTTAAGGAAATGTACTCTTGTCTTAAGATCAATAAAACTTCTAATGGCAGCTTCCATTTTCTAGATGTAGAAATCATGAAGAAAATATTTAACTCAAAACTTAGTGTCTCTGACCACTTTTCTGGGCCAAATCACTGCAAATATGCTTATCTGTGATCGAGAAATACATGTACAACAGCTACTTGTAAGTGCACATTCTAAATTCAAGGATGAAAGAATCACAAATTGGTCACTGCTGTGAACTATCAATATCGTCACTCCAATGACAATGGCCAATGAGCCTCCTGCTCAACTCCAACAAAGAGAATGTTTTAACAAAAAGAGAGAGAGAGGGAGAGAGAATCTAACATTGTCACCTTCTACACCAAACATGTTTTCAAGCCCAGATTTCTAGCTACAAAATTTAAACTTATAATTAATTATATTAGGCATATTTTTCTCTCATAGGCTTCCTGTGACTGGAACTACTCTGTTTTGGAAGGAAATTTCCAGAGTAGCGCCAGGGATGTTAAAAAAATTGTATGTGTGTGTGTGTGCATGCGCGTGCACACGCACATATGATGTGTATCAATAAATATGAGTTATGAAAAACGGAAACCATGTTAGAGACAAAGATAAACTTTGAAGTGCTGTCGTTTGCTCTGTGAATTACTGTGACTCAGCCACACTCCTACAAGGAACTGGCTATAGAAACCCTACACCTTGGTCCAAACAAGCTTCTGACTGTTCCGAAGCCGCTGAGAGGGCGAGAAGCTGGTTTGTCTTCTCTGCTGACTGGCCCCCCTTTGGCCATCTCATCCAGTGTTTGCAGGACACTAACAAGACGGACTAGCCACTCCTGGTGGCCAAGATGCCCTTGTCAATGGCAGGAGTCATCATTAATGTCCCTATACCACACTCTGGAATACGTACATTGCTCATTTGATTTTCACAACAATCTAAAAGCAGGTTTATTATTTGCCCATTTAACAGATGAAGAAATTGAGGCTGCAAGAAAAGTTAGTTTATATGGATAGTAACAAAATCAGGACTTGAAATCAGATTTCTCTGATGCCAAATTACAAGTTCCTCCCACACTGAGTGCAGATACCCATGAAAATGTTTTTAAAAATATATCTATAAGTTATGGCAGTGCCGAAAATAACCTGACAAGCAAAAGACAGTACCCTGTTCACCAAGCACAGAGAAGGCCTCAGAGTCACGTAATGAGCAGTGGTGTCTCATCCGTTTACTCAGGAGACTCGAGAGCATGTCCGACCAGGGTCTGGGTGTCTCCACAGGTTGAGCCATTGATTGTGTTCATCATTACTGTGCCGTGCCCGGCTCAGTTCTCAAGTTCAAACACTGAAAGTGAAGTGCTTCCCAAGGAGATGCGAGTGACAGAGAACAGTAAAGACTCCCTTACTCTAGTCCAGGGGTCAGTAAACATTTTTGGTAAAGGGCCAGGTGGTAAATGGCTTAGGTTTTGTGAGCCATGTAGTCTCTGTTGTGACAACTCAACTCCGCTCTTGTCATAAGGAAGCAGCTATCAATACAATCTAAACAAAGAGGACTCGCCGAGTGCCAATAAAACTTTATTTACAACAGCAGGCCACTCAAGCATAATCTATCAGTCAATACTGAATCATATTAAGTACAGGTGTGACGCCATAATCTAATCCCTTTACAGTCGCATTTCATATACATGCTATTTGCCGTCCATAAAATGAGATATGGGTAAGTTATCGGGATATAGCCATACGACTTTGGACAAGTTATTTCTTTCTCTACCCTGGTTTCTTTGTTCACCAAAAAGGAGTAATAATAATACCTACCTCATACACTGTTCTGAACATTAAATGAGTTACTAAAAGAAAATGTGCCTGGCACTTACTAAGTGCTCAAAAATGTTTGCTGTTGCAATTGTCACCAGTGATTACTAGAGAAAGAGACAAGAGCAGAGTAGGCAAGCATTCGACCGCTGTAACTGCTGGTGCTCTTTTCCGTCAGTCACCTCAAATACAGAGACACACCTGGTTAAAACATAGTAGGCCACACACGCACGCACGCACACGTTTACAAAAATCGGCATCACTTAATGATCACTGCTGAAGTGAGGTCAATTCAGAGAACTTACCTCTTTTTTCTTCCACAGTTTTGACAGAGATGACATTTTTATCCATGGGGTTGGGATACTGAAAGGGAGCACATAAAGAAGAATTACCATCTGTCTTTTACCCAAGTGAGTTATTTCATAGTAACCACTGTGATGCACAGGAACAGGGAATATTTTCCAAGCGATGTCTACGGCCAGTTTTCTATCAAGAGTCTTAAATTTACTGCTTCGGCCTCAGTAAGTGAGATGCTCTGACCAGCTGGGCCCTAAGAAAATCCAGGCAGAGCCTTCCTCAGATCCAACCTAGCCCTTGATGCACAGGGGCAGGTTAAGTTAAACGAGTCAGTAAATAATGTTACTAATACTGAACTAGCTTTATTCAGTCAGGAGTGTTCTTTCGTGCCGGGCGCTGTGCTAAACACTTTACTTGCACAACGTTCTTTAAATCCTTTAATAGCCTCTTTGTTGTGACTGGGTTGTGTGATATCATTGTCCCACCTTCCAGAAATGGAACCTGAAGGAAGGTCACAGAGCTTAGGCTCCCCCAGCTTGTGGGCGGGAGAGCCAGGAAGTGAAACCAGGCCTTATGCCGAGCGAATCCCTTCACCACCGCCCTGAACCACTGGCCGGGAGCTGGGTTAACCTCGCAGGGGTGCGATGATGGACCTTTCCTCATGGTCTATGCCAGGTCCTCGATAAATAGTTCATTTACTGACTAAATTCCCCTGAAAGACAATTTGGATATAAAGCTGCTAAGAGCTTCCATTTTTGTCCCAGGCAGTTTTTATACATCATTTCAGTTTAGTTCTCAAAAGTATCCCATGAGCTATATGCTGCTTTTTCCCTTTCACATGTGAGAAATCAGGCTCGGATAAAGTAAATAATTTGCTCAAAATCAGCCAGCTAATGAGCGCCGGGACTGTAATTTACCACACTCTCTGCAGCCTTCAAAGCCCGTCCACCCTACCCACACTCAGACCCAACCCTCTCCACTGCCCAGGTGCAAAACGAGAGACTTAGGGAGCAGGAGGGACCTCCTCAAAGCCACAGGACAGGGTGGCTGCTGACTCAGGCCTGCCGAGGGCCCCTTGGGCTCTTTTCCCCAGAGGTTTACTGCTTCGTCATGAGATCAAATCTGAAAATTACAGGAAGTCATATCCAAGACTTCGTATGGTGCTAAGGGGAGGTGAGAACAGCCAGCTTGAACTATAAGTCTTCTGAACCTCATGAAATAGTATGCAAAACTCAGTGAGTATGCGTCTCCCCAACCCTGCAGAGCTGCATGCTCAAGTGTGCATGTATGCACACTCGCAAGAGGCTGAGTGACCAACTGTTGAGGTTGATGGACCTACTGTTTGATTTTCAGGGAAAAGAGTCCTTCCTTTTCACACATTCTTAAAGATATCTGCGGCCCCCCAAAGGACACTGGATCAGGCCAGAGGCTCTATGAGAGCAGGAACACCATCTGTGTAAGTCTCTCCTGTATCCCCACCACCTAGCACAGGTCTGGCACACAGCAGGCCCTCAATAAATATTTGCTGAGCGAAGGAATGAGTTGGAAGATAAACCCCGCTGACCTCAGGGATCAGTTTGGAAAGTGAACCTTACTTCTTATTTGGGGACCAATCCGTGAAGACCAGTCGTAGCCCTCAGCAGCCTCACACCGCCCCATGCCCCGGGCCACAAACTGTCACTCACACGTCCATCCTGGCAACTGCGGGTCTGATAACCAGTCAAAATTGTGGCTTTTGAAATAGGTAGTCATTCACTCATTTTTTTGGCCCTAGAAAGAAAATGCTCAAAACTACAATGACTGCTTTCTTCAAGCTTAGCCTTCAGTACCTCTTGACAGTAATCTCCATTATGGATGGTCAGGTTTAGCTATTCTGTTCCTTGGCAAGAGGCCTCACTCATAAGCACCCGTGACGCAAAGGCAGTATTTCCTCACAGACAAGAGTATGGTGATGATCAGAGGGAAAGGGGCAGGGGAGGTGGAGGAAGGTATGGGGGATAAATGGTGATGGAGGGAGACTGACTTGGGGTGAACACACAATACACAGATGATGTACCCCTGAAACCTACATGATTTTATTATCCAATGCCATCCCAATAAATCATTAAACTTTTTTTTTAATATTTGAAACTAACAGAGATACCCTGAATTGTGTATGAGTTGTGTATGAACTAGAATTTTTACACTAACATAAAATGAGAGTACTTCCTTTACTATAGTCCTAGTTTGTTCATTTTACCCTCATCAATACATCCTGACTGAATATTGTAAACACAATGTAAGTTGTAGAAAGATTACTAAACTAAATTATGAAAGAGGTTGGACTTGTAATCATCGGAGAAGGACAGTGATCGAAGTTTTTAGTTCTTAATATTTGACCAGTCAAATTCCTAAAGAGTACAATAAGGTCAGAAATCTCACACTTTACATGATTGTTATATTTTTTATTAAGTCAAAGGGTGTCTGTTTAAATAACAGTAAAAACTCTCTATTTATTCTTGATTCAATGATTTTTTCAGTAACTACCAGGCAAGACACTGTTCCAGGCACCAAGAATATAGTCATAAAACAAAGGAAATTGTAGCTGCTCAGAGACCTTACATGTTAGTTTGGGGAATAAATGTTATAAATATATGGAGAGAGAGAGAGAGAGAGAATAAATCACAGTAAGGAATAATAGGGGGATGAAAAATTACAAGAGAGACCACTGTAAAACAAATACTTAGAGGTCACCCATTAGACAATACTTATAAATTTAAAAAGTAAAAAGAAAGTTTTATTAACCAAACACAAGAGATCCTGAAAAATTCACTCAATAAAATCATCTGCAAGATTCAAGTCATCTTCCTATACAGCTCCTTTTGGAGCTAGACAGACATGAGTCTCAAGTTACCATACGAGAATGGGAAAAGAAATTAAGTGGTTTATTTACAGAGCTAAAGACCATGACGCAAAAGGCGTAGGTCTGAACTCTTTAAAATTAAGGATTTATTGTGCGGAGGCTCCCCCTACCTGGCATCACTGGAAACGATCTGACATCATCTTGTGGCAACTTGAATATTCATGGTTTAATTCACAAAAAAAGTACCTGAAGTCAAATAAGGAGTTGAGAGAGGGAAAGCTGCTCAGAGAGGGTCACCACTAGTCATGTCTATTTGCAGAGACAGGAAGCAGGTGACCAGATTTTTCTCGACACCTTTCCAAAACGTGTGACAGTGGAATGGATCAAGCTAGGTCAGGCTCAGCCCACTGAAGACTTATTGAGCATTTGCTGGGAGCGTGCAGGGGGCTGCATATCAGGCTGCCATGCGCATCATCTCAGTCAGTCCGCTCCAGAATGAGCAAGCCTATTAACAAGTGTCATGATAAGGAGTCTTTGTGTTAAAAATGTGATGACGTCGTAAAGCCTGCATGCAAGCAAGGTCCCACTGGGATTTGCCAGTCCCCACTCCACACTAGAAACTCTCATGAAAGTAAAGTGGTCTGATGACCCAGATATCTTCCAAAAACCCTGGCCACCCTAGGACTTGGCTCAGTGGATCACGAACTGCAGTGGTACGATTTGCAGAGGTAGACATCTGTATGATTAGTCCTGAAAAGATGACTAAAATATGGCTGGTATATTAACACATCTGTTTCATAAGCACTAAGGGAGTCTTTGCTACCCAGCCTGCTTCCAAACCTGTAACGCAAAAGGGTAGAGCTGCTGAAAAGAGTTCTCAGCTACACAAAGAAATCAGCACGGGCCATGCCAAATTCCCTTTAGGAGTTACATTAGTCTATCTCAGAGGAAAAGCAAAGCTAATTTTAAGCCGGTATCAAAAGGGTCATTGACTCATCAAAATTTCAATGATAAAGGACTGTGTTTAAGTCAACAGATGTTTTGAATGGCTGTCCTTTCGGGCCAGTAGGATGATGAAGTAGAAAAGACACAGGGCAAGGAGCCAAGACATGCAAAACCACAACGCTGCCACCTATGAAGCCAGCGTGGTGGACCAGCAGATGAGCCTCAAAGGCCCGCTGGCTGGGCTCGCATGCTGAGCAAAGGCCGACCACCACCACAACACCCTCGTTCATTCAACAATGTCCTAATAATTGGAAATGACATCATGAAGTTCTTTGAAAGGAATAGTTTACAATTGTGGTACAAAGGAAAATCCTCTTATCTCAGTATTAAATGCATACATAAACCTAATGCATTAAAGATACAATCAAAGTCTCCCAAATAACTGACCAGTAGTCTTCGAAAGTGCCATGGTCCAGAAAGACTAATGAACTCTCCCATGTTGGAGGAGACTAAGAAAGAACAAACTATTCAGTATGTGCAATGTGGGATCCTGGATTGGGTCCTATTCTGGAAATACGATATTGGTGGACAAGTGCCAATTTTTGAATGAGGTCCTTAGATTGGCTAACACTGTATCAATGTTATTTCCATGGTTTTAAAAATTATACAGTGGTTTGAGGAAGTTGGGTAAAGAGTATACCGGAATTCTTTGCTGTTTTTACATTTTAGAAGTCAAATTACTTTTAAATTAAAAGTTAGGAAATAAAAAGCAAAATGAAAATAAAGGCACTAAGTGGTGAAACAGAATGAGTTTTAGAATCCAAGAGACCTCAGTTTGAAGGCCAGCTGTGGGGGTCTTGGGCAAATTAATTTAATCTCAGTCTGCCTTAGTTTCTTCATCTGTAAAACTAGGCAAAAATACCTACCTCAAAGAGTTGATACAGGAATTGAAGGAAACAGTTTTAAGTAAAGTACAACACCTGGTACCGTGCAGGTCCTCGATAGACAGTAGCTGGTTTTGCTACCAAAGAATGAACCAAGTTTTTGAAAACCTGGTTTCAAAGCTCCAGTCTTTATCTTGCAATTGGCTGTGATGAGGCATTAAACATACTACTGGTATCCGTCTGCAATCCAAATATATTTAAATGATGACTTAAAAATTATTGGGAGATATCCTTTACTCTCCTAAGCTAGCAAAGCCTCACACGCCCATGCTTTAGCAATTCAGATTTTGTATAAGAAACCACAAGGCCTCCCTGGCTCAGTCCTCCCTGCCAGC